TTTAGCAGGTAAAAACATCTTTCAAGATTACATGTGGCAATATAAATTATTGAATATCTCTATTACTCTTTTCACGAAATATCAGTCATCGGAAAAATAATTGGAACAAGAGGTTTAATTTTATTTAAAAAAAAATTATTTTCTTAGAGAAATATAAATATATTAATTAGAGCCTTTTTGAAGCAGGAATGAAATCATGCCAAAGTCTAATAAAAAATGCACTTTTAGTGAAGATTATGTCAATCAATTTCCTTGGGTTAAATCAGTACCCACCGACAGACATTCTGCATTTTGCACCTGGTGTCATGCAACTATTCGCATTGATAATGTGGGAAAATCAGCTCTGGAAAGTCACGAAAAGGGAAGAAACATATGGCAAAATTTAAAACCCGTAATACGAATACTTCACTGTTCATGCATAGCTCATTACGTGATATTGAAGCAACTGTGTCTGTTTCTAAAGTTATATTCCACGATAGTAAGATTGTAAAACGGATGAGACTTGGAAAAGATAAAGCGTCTTATGTAATTATTTATGGCATAGGAAAATACATTCAGAAAGAGTTAGAAACAACGCTTGAAAAATGCGAAGCTAGGAGGATTCGATGAGTGCTTAAATACTGTGAGTCAACGAAATCAAATAGACATTTCAATTCGTTATTGGGACGACCAATGTGATAAAGTAACTACTCGTTATTGGACTTCTGCGTTTTTGGGTCACTTAACAGCTAATGACCTATTACAAGCTTTTATGGATTGTCTACCGAAAGATTTGAGAAACAAAATCATTCAAATTTCCATGGATGGACCTAACGTTAATTTGAAGTTTTTTAATGATCTACAAACGGAGTTTTCAGAAAATCTCAATCGATTATTGTTATATTTAGGAACATGTTGTTTGCATGTTGTAAGCGGAGCATTTAAAACTGGCATAGAAAGTACTAATTGGAATTTAATAATTAATTATTTGATTAATTTAATCAACCGGCACGTCGAGCTGATTATTCTTCTGTATCTGGCTCTACTAAGTATCCATTAAAATTTTGCGGAACTCGTTGGTTGGAAAATGTTAACGCGCTCGGGAAATTTTGCCACATGTGAAGCTTTACGTAGAAAAGTTAAAAAAGAATTCCCAAAACTACAAGTTTTCAAACAATTCTTGAGTGTATAGACGACAAACTTCTCGAATCTAAATTAACATTTTTTGAGGCTTTTGCTTGTGAACTTCAGCCATTTCTCACAATATTCCAATCAAATGAACCATTGGTTCCATTTCTTTATGATAATCTACTGAATGTTTGCAAAAACATCCTGATGAGAATTGTAAAAAAGGAAGTCCTGAAGAAAGCTGATTTAGCTAAGTTAGACCTTCAAGCCGAAGATAATTTACTGCCAGCGAATAAGATAAATGTTGGCTATGCTACGAAAAGTGCTTTAGAGTTGAATCTTCTTTGGAAATTCTTCAATTTAAAAATGATTGTCGAAAGATTATGAAAACCTCTATCGCTAAAATTCTTAAAAAATCTCCATTAAAATATCCAATAGTAAAAGCAGTATCGTTTTTGAATCCTGATGTAGCAATTTCTAAAGAATTGGCTAAAAGGCATATAACTGTAGCTTTGAAAACTTATGTTGACCACCGGCTGATATCGGGATCGAAAGCTGATAATATAAAGAGAATTTTTGCAACTTTGTTCTTTGTCTAGTACGAAAGAAAAGTTAAAAGGTTACAATTCTTTGTTGGACAAACGTTTAAATTCTTTTTGGACAGATATATTCAAAACACATAATCAAGGCAGCTACGATAATTTATTTTGGTTCGTGAAAAACATTTTAATTCTTTCACACGGAAACGCTGCTTTGGAGAGAGGATTTTCAGTAAACAAAGAGATGATAGTTGAAAATCAAAAGGAAATAGTATATTGCTTAACATGGGGAAGACAGACCCATTTACGGAGAGGGCGAATGTTTTTAGCACGAGTCGAGCACTGAGATGAACGAAGCCGTAGCCCAAGCGCCGAAGGCGCGAGGGTGAAGGCTGAGTGATTCGCAGTGCTCGTCAAGTGCTAAAAATTCAGTCCTCTCCGTAAATCGGTCCTTCCCCATGTCACGCAACATATTTTTTAAAACGAATGCACGAATTGGACGGTTTTGTGCCCCGTCCAGCGAGTTTAAACTTCAGGTTTTTGAGTCGGTGCCAATGACATCCCGATTAGTATATCTAGCAGACATGCAGGTACTGTCTCACAGAAAACATTGACCTGCGTGCGCCGGTATGGAGCATGCGCACATCAACAACGACAGACTGAAAAGTGTGTGTAAATGATTTGTTTTATGTGTGTGACGTCACGTTTTTACTCCCTAGAGTGTAAATTTTTAATTTAAACGCACCCGCGCACGCTGCTCGAAAAGCTGGAGTTTAAGCTCGCTCGGTGGGGCGTAAAACTGACTAAATCGTGCATGTGTGATGAAAAATCCTTAATTGCTCAAAGACTAATTTATGACAGCATAAAATCAAGCGTCGTTAATGTCGAAGATTTTGTTATAACGAAATCTTTAATTCGTTGTACTCTCAACGCATATAAATGGTACCAGGAAGATCTCACTAAACAAAAAAAAGAAAAACAGTTGGGTGATGAAAATAATGATTTGCAAGTCAAAAATAAAAAAATGATCTCAAGTTAAGAAAAGAAAAATTTATGGATGAAGCATTAAAGGAAAGTGCTCAAATTAAAAATGAAATATTATTACTAGAGTTGAAAAAATAAAAATTTTATTAAGTTTTTATGCTATGAAAAATACCAAAAATTGAATGTATTTATTGATCTCTATTTATGCATCTACGTTTCTATGTGCCTATTCTTATGCGAAATACCAAAAATTAAATGTATTCATTACTACACGGAGAGAAAAGTCGTGCCTTTTTCCCGTGATATCATTTCATGCTTCTTTCGGTAGTAGCTTCTGTTATGAATGGAGGTTAATTTCTTACGTTTCTTGCATTACATTTTTCATGGGAAATAACCATGATAAACATGCTCTTTTTCGTAAAACGTAATGATTTAAGCGGGTAATGTTACGCGAAAATCTTATGAAAAAGTTCATGGTACAAATGCAGAACTGTCACCCGTTTTCCCGGTGAAACTCATGCGATGAGCGATCAGGCCACGCCTACCGGTTCACACCGGCTATGGAAGGATATATTTTGATTTTCATTTAAGGGAAATCGTTATAAAATCGGTCCTTCACAATCAATGTAGTTAGTGCGAAGTAAGTTTGTTTTTTGATGTGTTTGGAAGTTTGTTGAATTTATTTTATTTGGTAAGTATTTTTTCATTTAAAATTAATATTTTAAAAGTCGGTAATTGATCAAATTCGAAACGAAACGAAAAAAATATTTGTAAATTTTTTTAATTGTACAAAGTAAAGAATTTTTTTATATGCAGGATTCATTCATTTGAGAAATATAGTAGGAAATAGTGATGTTAAAATGGGTGATATTAATACAGATATAAGTCACTCATTAACGACATTGCCTTCAACTTCAAATTTGTTAAACGGTTTGGAAAAAAGTTATTACTATTTTTTGCTAAGAAAATAATATTTTATAAGTAATAATATTTCATTATAATTTTTTTTATTTGTGAGTAAAAATAAATGTTATTTGGCGATGATTTGTAGTGCAATTTATGAAAAATATATATTTTATTTTATTAAATAAATGTAATAATAATTAAATGCTTTTTACAATATTCTGTTTCTTAAGAATAAAAGTATTCATTGTTTTGAAAAAATATTCCCAAAAGAAGGTTTGGTTAAAGTAATTTTGTAATTCAACTATTTACAGATTTTTGTCGAATATATTTTTTTCGTCGTAAATTAAAATGTAAATTTAAGTTCGGTGTTCATATATAAATTTAATAAAAGAAAGATTTAATTTCAACAGATTTTTCGAAAAAATATGAATTTAATAATGCAGGAGGTCGAAGTTACATAAATTTGACTAATGTTGAAAATTTTACACAAAATTCTTTGGATTCTAACAATAGTTTTTCAATTAGTAAAAATTCATTAACGGAAAATCAATTACCAGGTGCTTGTATTTTCATAAACACTTCGAATAGCTCTTTGTTTACCAGTGACAGCACAAGTGACTTTTCCACACCTGTTATTGAAGAAAGTATGAATGAATATCTTAAATTACTATTAATAAGTTAACTAAATGTAAATGTTTAATGACTTTGAATTTGAGGATGGAATATTTTAGATAATAAAGAAAATGATACTTTCAAGGTTCAACAAACACTCGACTGTACAATTATGTGTACCAAATTTTAATACAAAGCGGCGAAGGAGAATTCCTTATTAAGGGGGAAAACGCACCGAGAAACGCGAAAAAAAGCCATTTTTTTTAATTTTTTTTAAGGCAACCTTTTAATTCAATCAAAGCAATCTTTTTTTTACATGATAAAATACATTTTGAAGAATATATCATGAAATTTTTTATGAAAAAAATTAAAAATTCTCTGAGATATCCTCATGCTTGTCAAGTACTGCAAAAAACTATCGCTTTGCGGTACGCAGCCCTGCTTCATCTGTAATCATCCAAATCAAAAAAACCAAAAAGATTATTAATCTGGAGAGCATTATCTAGTCTTTTACGTACGGGATTTTGAAAATATCGATTTTTGACAAAATGGCGGACATTTTTATAAAAAAATCGATTTTTAAGGAAAAAAACGACCTTATTTCGTCGATTAAAAAAAAAATAAGCCACTAAAAAAAAAATCCGTACGTTAAAGACTAGATAATTATGTGTAGAATAAGCACAAAAAAAATCTTTGCAATCGGTTAATTAGTTTTCGAGAAATCTTGCGTACCGACTTCGAAAACATGATTTCGAGAAAAACGCGTTTGAAAGTTGAGTAATGAATAAATCACAAAATTCTTCAACTTACATAGAATCATCCATTCCAGGTCCATAAAATAGATCGTCGGTGTTGTCAGTGATACCTAATTGTATCAAATTTTCTTGTCGGCGCCTTAATCTTCCTTCTTTTGTCGTTTCCATCGCTCGTAGCTCGGCTTGCACTAAGCTGCTGTACGACGCATTCCGCGCGCTTTTACTAGATCGGCTCTAACTTTGTTATTTATTCGAATTTTCGCATGCGGCTTTCACCACACATTCTTAAGATGTTAAGCTTGAAGAATAGTAAAAAAAAAAAAATCGAAAATTTTGAAATTTCTCGGTGCGTTTGCCCCCTTAAAGCCTACGACTTTGAACAAAACAAGAGAAATAATCAATATTTATTGCAAACGAAAAGAGAAACGTATTTCTCTATCCATAAAGTTGCGAGGTTAATAATATATCACGAAATTCATCGCACAAAATCTCATATGTAAGTAAACAAATAGTTTATAAAATTTTCAATGTAAACATTGCTTTTAAGAAGTATATAATTTACACATATTTCTTCTTCTATAGGATAACTTCTGACAGATTGGAGGTTTTAGCGGACAGTGCAGCAAGGCTTTTTCCCGCTTACTTAAAGGAGACTTTTTATTGTCGGCCAACTGTAAATTCCAATGCTCATGGTGTCTTTCAGAGTTTTTACAGCGGCTTGCGGGAAAAAGCAATTGCTATAAATATTATAACTCTGGCGAAAGGGCGCAAACGAAAATTAGATGAAGGTATATACATAAACAAGGAGGGGGTCCTTTATGTTTATTTCATAAACATTATGCTTCCTCACTGTGTGAAGCAAAAAATTCGCTTCCTCGTGAAGGAAGCAATGAATTTGTCCAATTCAATTGATTGATTTAAAAACTTTCGAATTAAAAATGTTTTAAATTAATTAAATTTTTTGAAAAATAAAGAAAATTTTAATTAATTTTGAGTGTAACATAAACTTTATATATACGAATCGATTCGTTTTAATGCAAGGAATACAATTATTTTATTCATCAACTTGAATTTTAAAAAAACACAAAATTTTTTAGCTAAAATATGAATTTTCGATTTTTCAATTTTTATTAATTCTCAAATTTTAAATCAAATCTATACTTTATATATACCAACCAATTCGTTTCAATGCAGGGAATAAAATTATTTCATATATAAACATGAATTTAAATAAACACATCATTTTTTAGCTAAAATGAGAATTTTTGATTTTTTAACTTTCTTTAAATTTCAATCAAATCTATACTTTATATATATCAATCGATTCATCTTGACATAAAGAAGACGATTATATTATATATTACCTTAAATTTTTCGATTTAAAAATTTTTTCAATTAAAAAAAAATTTTTGGAAAAAAGACGATAAAATTTTTTTTTTGGGGTATTTTTAAAAATCCTCTCGTCATTTTTGAGAGATTAATGTGTTAAATAAGCCTATCAAATTTTATCAAAATCCATTAAAACCTGTTAAAGATATCGTGTTCACAAAAACGATCCACACACACATACACACACACACACACACACATACATCCGGACAATTGATCAGGATCTCATATAACATGTTTCTATATAGAGGAAAATTTGTTTTCACCATTTTTAAAAAGTTTATAAACGAAAGGACTACATAGCTTCCTCCACGAGGAAGCAAAAGCACTATATTTCGATACTTTAAAAAATATTTTTAAATTATTTGTTTATATTCAGGAAGCAAAGAAAAGTAAAAGAAACGAAAAAATATTTTAATTTATTCGCAACATAATCATTGTCCTATAGTGTCTTGTGTTTCCTCATTTGATTAAAGTCAAGTTTTTATATCATATGGCTGACATTTCCTTTTCCGCGTTTCCTAATAAATAGTTTTAAAGAAAACTGCACCCAGAAAAAAGATTCTTTGTTACAAAGAACTTTTCTTTGAATCAAAGAAATTTGTGCATTGTTATAGGGTCAAAGAAAAATTTCTTTAATTCAAAAAATTTTTTTTTGTAAAATCAAAGAAAACTTTTTTAATTCAAACAAATTTTATCTTTGATTCAAAAAGTGCTTTTAAAAAAACGATTTCTTTGTTTCAAATAAATCTTTTCTCTCAGTGTGTTTGATTTGAACAATGGAGTATTAAATTTTAATTTACTTTTTTCCAGATGAAGTACATTCTTCTGATTTTAATGACCTGAAAAAAGCAGTGCACATTATCGATGATATATACAAAAAAAGTGAACTTTAACCGCAGCACAAGAGAAAATTAATTTCTTTCAAAAATCCGATTACAATACGATTTTTGAAGTTCTTCCAAACTTACTAAACCCCCTGGGTTATACGTTGGTTAGTGTTTATTGATAATCTTAAATTATGTAACTTTAACACGAATTTCTGATTTAAAGTATATTAACTATATTACAACACTTTGTATATTTTAAAGATACAGGCCGATTTTTGTCATTCTTTTTCGAAAACCGAGAACTTATTCAAGGACAAGTGGCCGTCTGCAGCTCAGAAGATTATAAAATTAGCTAAAACTAAGAAAAACGATAAGGAAATAAAAAATATTTTAAAAGAATATAATCCGCATGTTGGTTAGTATATAATTTCAAACTACCAAAGCATATAATGTGAAAAAAATTAATAATTAATATTTGTTACAGGATGTGCAAAAACTATTGCACTGCTATTGTTGCCTTTTTTGTTTAAAAAAATAACAAAATTAACAAAACGCTCAAAAACGGGAAAAGCCTGGAATCCCGAAAAATCAGAAGTCTTAAGTTCATTTATATACCACTTAAAGGTAATTTCTCATTCTTCTGAAGTAAAAGTGTGATAGAAGCTCCATCAAGTATTGCTTTCAAATTTTCTGTGCTATAAATTTTTATACTTTTCGCAGAAAACAGAGAATCTCAACAATTCTTTAAAAGAGATATACACGTCATTGGAGAAATTACATAGTGACCACAAATTAAATGTTGCTCTATTTATTTTAATATATGGTCCAACTATAAACGAAATAGTATCAGCGTATGTTGTAATTGTCAGTCACATGTACCAAGTAGTCAATGCTGTAGACGCTGTGGATTTGTGTTTCCAGGTGATTAAAGTTTTTAGGAAAAGTTTTTCTCATGTCTGCAGTCATGTATGGTAGTTTTTCGAGCGAGAAGTATATGATTTTAACGTGAAAAATTTATACGGAGCTGTAAGTCAAATGATTGACAGATTGAAACAGGTTTTGTGAGACAAATTGTTTAATGTCATTATATTGACATTTCTTTGCTTTTTAGTTACAATTTACACTTAAAAAATTTTAAACTATTATGTTTTAAATAGTTTACCACTGTTTTTAACAGTGAAAAATCATGCATTTTGTTGATGTTAAATAGTGTCTCGTATTTAAAAATTATAAACTGTTGTACTATATCATAGTTTCATCGTTTTAGAGTTATAAATTGCTCTTCGAAATTTTAAAACGGTTATTCGTTAATTACTTTATCACTGTTTTTAACGGTAAAAAATCCGTCGATTTCGTCGATTATAGATTATTATGGATTACATCGATAAAGATCGTTATATTTTTCTATCACTTGTTTATTAAAAAATAATTCCAATGGATTTCGGTCAATTTTTTCGAAATATTAACATGGATGACATCGATAAAGAAATATTGAAACTGACACTTTCTTTATATAGTGTCCCGTATATTTCTCGTAAATCTGTTGATCAAATTATTCAAATTTTTAATACCTTTATTTCTACCATGTTTATTCCATTTATTCAAAAGACTATAGAAGCAGAGGTTAAACCAATTTCAGTCCAAATGTCGTATTTAAAAACTCAATTCATTTTAGAAAATGTTAAAGACGTTTTTAATAAATATTCGACAGAACATTTAAGACTTCAAATATATGAGACAAATAGTTCATACATCCCTCCTCATATTTTTGAAATTGGTCAAGTGAGTGCATATATTCACCAAGAAAATGAAACTGCAACTGTTGTAATGAGACCTGTATATGCAACGTATGTTCCTTTAACAGAATCTTTAAAAGCAGCTCTCTCAATACCAGGTACACTGGGTACAATACTTTCTTACATGGATGATTTACGAGAAGATAATTCATATTTGTCAAACGTGATACAAGGCGATTTGTGGTTAAAAAAGTATAGCAATTCAAGTAAAATTATTATTCCACTTCAATTATTTTTTGATGAATTTGAAACCCGAAATCCTTTAGGAAGTCATGCAGGAGAAGAAAAATTAGGTGCTATTTATATTTCAATTGCCTGTTTACCTCCTTATGCTTCTGCAAAGTTAAGAAATATTTTTCTATCGACGATTATTAATTCCAAACACCTAAAACAATTTGGTAATGAAAAAGTTTTTGAAAAAATTATTTCTGATCTTAATTTTTTATCTGAAAATGGAATACCAATGGAGGTAAATGGAGAAATGAAAATCGTATATTTTCAATTAATACAAATTTTAGGTGACAATTTAGGTCAGAATTTGATATGCGGATTTACTGAATGTTTTAAATCAAAACGATTTTGTAGAGTTTGTTCTGCTTCCAATGAGCAATGTCAGGAGATGACAGAAGAGAATCAAAGAAGAATGCGTTTTCAATAAAATTGCCAAATATGCAATTTATGACAATATATCCCTTGACTTGATGCACGATTTGCCAGAAGGAGTTGTACCCTACACAATTGCAGGAGTAATAGAGGGGCTAATATCGACTAAAAAAATAAGTTTGGAGCAGATCAATAATCGAATTGAAAGTTTCCAGTACAGTGAAATAGAAATTTCAAATAAACCAAGGCCTCTATTTTACACTCAAGGAAAAAAAGGAGGACGAAAACTAAAAATTAAACAATCAGCGTCTGAAATGTTATGCTTAGTACGATATTTAGGTCTGATGATTGGCGATCTCGTCCACGCAAGCAATGATTATTGGAAACTGTATCTTTACTTGAGAAAAATTGTCGCAATTGTAACTGCTCTTACTTTACATCGAGGGCAAATCCAAAATCTCACAGAGGCTATAAAAAACATAACAAACTCTACATTGAGCTTATTGGAAAATTAAAGCCAAAGATGCATTTTCTGTTGCACTATCCAAGGATTATGTTGCTGTATGGACCTGCAATACACTTTTCAGCTATGAAATATGAAAGGAAAAATAAACAATTAAAGGAGATTGCAGTTGGAACTTCATCGAACACAAATTTGCCATTGACTATTGCAGTAAAACATCAATTGCAATTATGTTTTGAAACAGTATATTGCCCACCTGTTCAAAGTAACCTTATACTTGATCCTGTCAAAAACTCAAATTCATATAATGCCTTACAACATTTTTCAAATTTACCCCATGAAACACCTATAATGACTTTAAAATATGTTGAATTACTGGGTATTAAATTATCTTCAGGAGCGGTGTTGCTAACGAAATTTTCTGAAAGTGGACCCCATTTTGGGATAATTATAAACATTTTTTTTTGTAAAAATGTTTACTTGCAAGTAGAAGAGTTGGATATTACTTTACTTATTTAATTTAAATAAATATTTTTAAAAAATTTACATTAATAAAATTAAATAATAAAGCATAATTCTATTTAAAGAAAATTAATAATATTACGTTCATCGATCATACATAATAATTTCCAAACGAAGGGTAGGCGCGGCCTATTCGCTCAATGCAAGAATATCACCGGAAAAAACCGTGATTGTGCTGCGTTTGTACTGTGAAAATTTCCCTACAAATTGCGCGTCAATAACATGCGTGTAAACCATACTTTTCTAAAAAAACAGCATGTTTTTCCTGGTTATATTGCATGAAAAGTATCATAGTGAAAGGGCATAATCCTCTCGTAATATTACATGACACTCATGCATTTATCGTATGGAAAATATCATCCGTTATATGCATGAGATTTCATGGGGCAAAGGCTCGACTTTTCTCTCCGTGTAGTTTTAATGAAAAAAAATTAAAATAATTTATTTTGTGCATTTAGTGTATATTCGACAGTAAAATTTATTAAAATAGTACCTAGAAAAAAAATTTTTTTATCCTGGAAAACCTGGAAAAGTCCTGGAATTTTATTTGGCAAAAGTGCTAGACACCCTGGTAACTTACCCATTTTGGTGCCCGGGTCCGCAACATCCTCCCCAACGGTACGGGAGGTTGGTTCTTCCGTACCCAAATTTGATGGACCTAATACTATGATTTTGTTTGAAGAACGTTTTACATTTTTTTCCCCGCGAAAGGATATCCACTACGCGTACGCGGCCATCTTTTCCTGGATACGTCTTTGTTATTTTACCTCTTGGCCAGGTGTTTCGAGGTATTGTTGGATCCGCAATCAACACTATGTCTCCTACAGCTAAATTTCGTACATCGTGATTCCAACGTTTTCTTACAACTAACTCCGGTAGGTATTCTTTCACCCATCTTGTCCAGAACATGTCAGCTAGTTTTTGGGCTGTTCGCCACTGTTTTCTACAACAAAGATCTTCATTTTGGAATTCTCCCCAAGTTATCGAACGAGATTATAATCCCAACAGCCAATGATTTGGGGTGAGTGCTTCTGGATCGTTTGGATCAACTGATACTTTCGTTAGTGGCCTACTGTTGATAGTGTGTTCCGCTTCTGTTAGTAATGTTCTGAGAACTTCTTCTTTCGGTGCCCTTTCTTTTAATATCATCGACAATGATTTTTTTACACTTCTGACTAACTTCTCCCAACTTCCGCTCATATGTGGTGTTGAGGGGGATATGAATTTCCATTTGATTCCCATGTTAGTCGCCATTTTGTTAAATTTCGCTGAATCGATTTCTTCAATCGCCTTTTTCAACTCAGAATTCGCTCCCACGAAATTTGTTCCATTGTCCGAGAATATTTCCCGAGGGATCACGCGACGGTTACTCATCCTTTGCAATGCCATAATTGCTGAATCCGTAGAGAGCGATGATGTTAATTCCAGATGGACAGCTCTTGTTGTAAGACATGTAAATAAAGCTCCCAACGTTTTTCATGTCTGCACCCGATGGAAACCAACATAGGACCAAAATAATCCACTCCGCAGTATGTGAAGGGACGACAATGATGTGCTAGTCTTGCGACGGGCAAATCTCCCATTCGTGGTTGTTCCGCTTTTTTCCAAAGCAGGCGACAAATAAGACATGGATGTGTGATTGATTTAGTGATCGGACGAATCTGTAATATCCAATAAGCTTGCTTCAATTCGTTCACTACTGTTTCATGATTTCCATGTTGAAATCGTTCATGATAATGTTGAATTAACAACCGCGTCAGATAATGTTTCCCGTTCAATATCGTAGGACATTTCACAGATTCTGAATTGCTCTTTGCAAGATTTATCCTTCCTTGGATTTTTAACACTCCATCCTCAGATAAAAAGAGTGTCAATTTATTTAGTCGAGAATTTTTTGGAATTGGTTGTCCATTTTTCAACGCATTTATTTCTTGGAGAAAGCATTCATATTCAGCCTTTTTTATTAGATATTTCTCACCATTCTTTAAATCTTCGGGTGTTAATTCATTTGTTCGCTCGTGTTTCCATATTTGGCCGTTATTAAAATTAGGGCCATACTACGAATTAAGCGTAATCATTTGCTGAAATTTTTTATATTCGGAGTTTCGAATATGTTTGTTTCCTTTGCGAGTCCCACAAATTCCCTTTTAATTTGAATAACTGGATCATTATCATATTTTCGTTCTATCGATGTGGGCCATTTGCTCTTTTCCAGTGAAAGAAAATTAGGTCCGTGCAACCATTTCAACATAATTGCCTTTATAGTAGTTTTATCCCTCGTTGGGCAGTCCGCTGGATTTTCTTTAGTAGGTACCCATTTCCATTCTACCGCATCCGTTAGTTCGTCAATTTCTCCTAAACGATGTGCGATAAAAGATTGATATTTCCGGGGGCTGCATGAATCCAAGCTAAAACAGTTCGGGAATCGCTCCAGAAAGTTCGTTTATTTATTTTCGTTTTTAATTCTTTGGTTATCGTATCTCCTAATCTGCTTCCTAATAAGGCCCCTTGCAGCTCCATTCTAGGAATCGAAACCGGTTTAATGGAGCGACTTTAGCCTTACCTGATATGAATGAGACTTGATTGATTTCCCTTGCTTCACCATGATGTTCAGTACGTAAATATGCGACCGCTGAGTATGC